CATCTCGATACGGAACATAAAGAACATGCCACAAAGAGCATTGTTTATTATTTTTCAAAAGTAAGGATCATGAGCTTTGGGAAAGTAAGAAAATGGTAAAAAAAAAAAAAAGAGAGAGAGACGGCAACTGGATGTAACAATGAAAATGCAGTGGGGGCCTCATTTGAAGATTGTATTTCCCCCATTTAATTTTGACTTTAAGATTTTCTGCAGTCTTTTGATATATTATCTTTCTGTCAGTTCTATAACTTTTGTGTGCACAATGTTGACTGCTTCTAATATTCCAAGGTATTTATAATTTTCATCACTTGAGAGTGATTTTACAATATTGCCATTTTAAAAACTCTATTCTGTCTAGTTTTTGGATCTTGCCAATAGATCTTATAGATAGAACTGTATGTTTGTCAATTCCAAATTTCATATGGATACAGTGGACCCTTGACTTACAGAATTAATCCGTATTGGAACGGTGGATGCAGGTCGAAAAGTCTGTAGGTCAAGGCTCCATTGACCTACAATGCATTGAAAACTAATTAATCTGTAACCGGACATTTTTGTTCCATTTTGGTTTTTTTCCTGGTCTGTAGGTCGATTCTCCGGCTGCAAGTTGAACTTAAATCTGGTGGCTGGAGAAGTCTGTAACTCAAAAAGTCTGTAAGTGGAGCCGTCTGTAAGTCGAGGGTCCACTGTATTTTCACTAAATATTTGCACTGTGTTTAGCAGATTCTATCTCTGTGGAACCTTTTGCATATAGTTTTAGGTCATCCATGTAAAAAAGATAATTGATTTTTCCTGCTTGTTTTGAAATATGGAAGCCCAATCCAATTTTATTTAAGATTATTGACATGGGGATTAGTGAGATATTAAACAACAGTGGTGACAAAAAATCCCCTTGAAATATTCCTATTTCGATGTTAATTTGCCCAGTTTCTTCACCATTGTTCATTAAGATGGTTTTTCATTTTTCCAACTGGGATAAATCTGGGATAAATCTGGCAAACAATTGCTGAGGTGAAATTGCTTCTCCATGAGGAAAAACCTCTGAATGTTTTTACTAATCCCAAACACTTTTAGGCAAGTGTTAATCCAGCTGTGTGGCAATAAATCAAATGCCTTTTTATAATCTATCCAGGCCACCTTAAGGTTTGGGTTTCATCTTTTTGCATTCTTCAGTATCATTTTCTCAATAAGCAGCTGATCTTTTGTGCCTCTTGACTTTTTAAAGTTTCCTTTCTGTTCAGTTGGATATAGGGAGTTTTCAGTCAAGTGTTTATATATAGATCTTGCAAGTACAGTGGTGCCCCGTATAGCGAGGTTAATCCGTTCCGGATTAACCTTCGCTATACGAAAACATCGCTGTGCGGGTAAGGAAAGCCTATTGGAACGCATTAAACTTAGTTTAATGCGTTCCAATAAGCGTCCAAACTTACCCCTCCAGCGATGTTTTCGGGTCCGGCGGCCTCCGTAAGCAAGGGGAGGGCGCGAAAACACTGATAGGGGGCCATTTCGGGTCATCCGGCGGCCATTTTGGAGCCGCCGATCAGCTGTTCGGCAGCTCCAAAATGGCCGCCGGACGCCCCAATCGTCGCAAAGCGAGTGCGGCGATTGGGGCAGATCTGTATAGCGATCCCCAAAAAGGGATCGCTATACGGATTCTTCGTTAAACGGTGCGCTCGTTAAGCGAGGCACCACTGTATAGGCATCCATAGACTGCTTTAGTCATTTGAAGCATGGGATCAGTGGTGTCAGTGGAACACACACATTGACCAGATTAATTTAAAACCACAGTGCAGGCATTTATTAAATATTTTTAAAAGGATAACATCACCCATACCTGACTCATGGGATTTGTCTCCCCATGATGTGGTGCTGGTTATGGGCTTAGATTGTTTAAAAGAGGATTGGACATATTCATAAAGGGCAAGTCTGTTAGTGAAGTAACCACTGTGTTGCAGAGGACTAGAGTAGGAACTCTGTCCATGCTCTGAAGATGCCGGCCACAGAGACTGGCAAAACGTCAGGAAGAACAACCTTCAGAACACGGCCAAAGAACCCGAAAAGTCCACAACAACCAACTTGTTAGATACTTTAACCGAAATCCATGCAGCTCATCTGGACCAGGTGCATTCCAATTTTTCACATCCTTTACTTGTCTCTTAATCATTTCAGTTGTTATTACAATATCATCAATTTGTTTTCCTTGAGTTTCTTTACAAATGTCTTTAATCCACAAGGCATTTGTGGATTAAAGGCATTTGTAAAGAAAATCAAGGAAATGTGGTTGCGCTTTCCCACATTTCTTTCCAAAATTTTAGAGCCTCATCTTTACAGGAGCCTAATTTCTTTTGCTCTGTTCTCCTAGTGACGTATAGAATAATCGTTGATTATTTCGAAATTGTGTGTTTTCTCTATATTGTTTCAAGTGCCCATCATATATTTCAATTTTCTTTGCTGTAGCTGTTACCTGCTCTTTTAATTCTTCCATAGTTTCCCAAATAGTTTTCCTTTCTAGGTCATATATTTTGCATAGTCTGGCTTTTAATTTTTCATTTAATCTTTTTAGTGCTTTAAGTTGCTGATGTCTGCACATAAATTGTTTATTTTTCTTTTCAGCCAAATTTTCCATTTTGGGGTGTCATGAGTTTTCTGGGGTTTATAACCAAATTCTATGGTAAATATGGTAGCTGTGCAATGCATGAGCTGGTTTGTTTCCTTTCGTGTGCTGGTCAGGAATCTTCTGATGACAACATTTGCATCATTCAGTAGATCTTTTACTGGTTTACTTTGTAATTGGTGCAAATTGGGGAGACTTTGTCTTTTTCTGTTCTGGCTAATGTGGGTTACTATTTTTTCTCTCAGTGATGTTTGCCGTTCTGTCAATTCATAATTTCTGGGTTATTCCCTAAGTTGTTCCTTTACTGATATGTTTTCTTCCGGTATTGTGTCTATTTCTACTCTCCATTTGTCTTCCCTATGATGGTCATTGTCCTGTGTTGCTTTTGCCACCTTTTCTAGTTCTTGCAATTCCAATTCTGAAAACACTTTACTCCAGATGATAAACCTTCTTTGGTCCATTAATTGTTGTTCAGTTATGTCACTATTTGGGTGTTTCTTTTTCCAAATTTCCATCATTATTTTTTTCTTTTTCTTTTTTTGAAAACCACAGGCTGATGGATTTGGCTCGTAATAACATTTCATGATTTCTCGATTTTCAGCGAGAGTCCAAGTTTTGCATTTACATTGTTCCAGTAGCTTTGCAGCAGTCTGTCCTGGTTCCTCAAGAGGGTCTCCTGGGTCCTGTAATCCATTTGTCACCAGATGCCCAGGGGCTATAGCATCTGATGC